CTGCGCCCGCTCGAACACTGTTACCGCGACTACAGGAACAACTCATGGAACCGCGCAAATCTACCAACTGACACCTTAATGCGCCTGAAAATAAGGAAACAACTCCACAAAGAGCTCAAGACAGTTACTTGAGTCCAGGAGCCTATATAAGACATCTAGATCCACCCAGAAAGGTATGCGCACTGATACTCTCAAGCTCCCTTACATTCTCAGAGATTACTCCTACACATTCACTAACTTAAGCATTGGAGTGCCCTCCCCGGGTAAAAGTTACCCGGGCACTCTCACCTTCTTCTCTTTTTACAGCTCGCTTCAGCTTGGATACCCAGCTCGTAGCTCGTCCACGCAGCTCATCCACACAACTCAGCCTAGGCAGATTGCTGCCAGTCGGAGTCCGAGTCACAACACACGAGGGAGCGTCCAGATTGTGCATCATCTATTGGTGGGCCTATTTTCAGCTTCATCAATTGGCTCCGTCTGTGGGATACGCAACAAAAAGCTAGTGTTTCCTTTCATTCATCTCTTTATCTCTCTCATTTTACTCAAAGAAACCTTTCAATGGCATCTTTCGGCAACCCTTCTTCCAACAATGTCAATGACCATGTGCCGAMAATCACAATAGGCCAAATCTACCGCTAGCCGATGTGCAAGAAAATGTGAACATGTCACCCCTACCTCCAGCTGTGGATCCCGTGGCACCTCCCATAGTGGTGGACGTACAACAGTTTAACGACTTGGTACGATGTGTGCACAACATGATCGAGCAGATGCAGTCATGGGAAAACATATTCGTCTTTGTTGTTGGGCAGCAACAACAACCATTCCAACAACAACAACAACAAGCTCAACAACATCAACAGCAACAACAGCAACAGCAACAGTAGTATCAACAACACCAACAGCAGCAGCAACAACAACAACAGTAGTAACAATTCTAGTAGCAGCAACAACAAGTTCAACAACAGCAACAACAACAGCTCTCACAACAGTAGCAGTAGTGTCAACAGCAGTAGTAGTATCATCAACAATGCCCCGTGGTACCAGATCAACCAACTCTGTGAGACGATCAGCAGGTACTGCGAGGCAGCCAGCTTTGCAACAGTCATTAGAAACCCCCTAATAACCAGCAATTCCCTTTACACAATAATAAGCTGAATCGCGAGGACCCACCTCGCCCACGAGAGTGCAACCAGATTGAGATCATGGACAAGGAAGACGCGATAGTCCAAAACGAGCAGGTACCCGCAGAAAAGCAAAGCAGAAGCTCCTGTCAAGTCCAATCTAATTAGCTCCACTAAATGTACTAAAAGGAAGAAACAAACGCTAAGTTCTCACCTTCTAGAAAGTTGAGTTTTCACCCTTTAATTTCCGTTTCTATTAACTCAATGACATTTTTGAGCAACACTAACATCAAGAATGAAGAATCAATCACTGGGGGGCAAAAACATCCGTGATGAACCTTGAGAACCCTCTTGTGACAATCAGATGTAGACATGGGAGAACAATCAGTAGCAGAACGACTTGAACAACCAACCTCCCATTGACAACCGGATCCTCGATAACAACCAACTACCGGTGGAGAGCCGAGCTACGGCTCCTATCAAAACTGAGTTCGCCAGCTCATCCACAGGGACCAAGAAAAGGCGTAGAAGGCGTACTCAACGTGCTAGAAAAAAAGAAAAGAAAAAAAAAGAAGAAACCAGCTCATTCTGACCTGGGAAGCATCAACAAGGAAGAGACAAGCAACAACGAGAAAAAGAAGAGAAACAAGTCACCTCGGAGCAGGCACAACAGCTCGTCACAAAGAGAAGCAGGTCGCCTCAGAGCAGGCACAACAGTTCATCACGAAGAAAAAGCAGGTCACCTCAGAGCAGGCGCAACAGCTCATCACAAAGAGAAGCAGGTCGCCTCAAAGGAGACATAATAACTTGTCACAAAGAGAAGCAAGTCACCTCGGAGTAGGCACAACAGCTCGTCACGAAGAAAAAGCAGGTCGCCTCGGAGCAGGCACAACAACTCACCATAAAGAAAAAGCAGGTCACCACCTCAGTGAATACGATATCTAGTTTGAATCGCACGTAGCTATAAAAGTGCAAGTTCTGGTAGATTTCCTTGTCGAGTGCGTGGTAGTAGGCGAGTAGCTTTATAGAAGATATTACTACAAACAACTCGCTACATGGTAGTAGGTGAGTAGCTTTACGAAAGATATTACTACAAACAACTCGCTATGTGGTAGTAGGTAAGCAGCTTTACAGAAGATATTACTACAAACAGCTCGCTACGTGATAGTAAAAGAGCAGCTCTACAGAATATATTACGACAAACAACCCGCTACGTGATAGTAGGTGAGCAGCTCTACAGAAGATATTTCATAGAGCCGAGCTGGATAGATCCATCCTTCGACAAAGCGTATTACCAAGAGAATGAAACGCAGTTCGGCTCATAGAACGACAAGTAGCTCACTACGTGATAGTAGGCAAATAGCTTTTACACTACCATATCTACAATGCCTGCACCGAACTAATAAAACAAGCGACCTATGAACCAGCCGAACCAATTTCCCCTTTCTGAGAGTTACTCTCTTCGCCGAGCTAACATTGGCTCGAGAGTGGGGGGCAATTGATGAGGGGTAATTTGGTCCTCCGAATCGTACAATGACATATGGCTTCCGGATGACACCTCAACACCAAGTCAGCGAACTATTTCAGTGAAATTAGCTCGGAGCATCTCAACTAGGCCGAACCGGACAAGCTAACGAGAGCAGACCAAGCTGAATCGTGGTCAAAGCAAGCCGACCCAAAATGCCCTAAAGAGCTTCTACTCTCTTCGTCTACTAAGCAGTGACTTGAGAGTGGAGGGAAATTGATGAAGGGCATTTTGGTCGCCCCACACAATTATCGACACATGGACGCTGGTGATAACGCAACATCCAGCATGGCAGAGCAGCTCGCCAAAGTGACATGGTAGTCAGCATCAGGTTTGTGGCCGAGCTAGTGTGAGCTTGACCCACAACGTCTAGCATAGCTGACCAACTCGCCAAAGTGACATGAGGCAGTCAGCATCACGTACGTGGCCGAGCTGGAGCGAGCTCACCCCACCAGCTCGTCCGAAACTGTTCCTCGTGCCACGCCTGCTTGAACACCGTTACCGCGACTACAAAAACAACTCGCGGAACCGTATGTTGTAGAACTCATGGGTGACCTGTAACTGCTGCACAAATCTCACAAATAACACCTTAATGCACYTAAAAATAAGGAAACAACTCCACAAAGAGCTCAAGATAGTTACCTGAGTCTAGAAGCCTATATAAGACGTCTAGATCCACCCAGAAAGTTATGCACACTGATACTCTCAAGCTCCCTTACATTCTCAGAGATTACTCCCACACATTCGCTAACTTAAACATCGGAGTTCCCTCCCCGGGTAAAAGCTACTTGGGCACTCTCACATTCTTCTCTTTTTATAGCTCGCTTCAGTTCGGATACCCAGCTCGTAGCTTGTCCACACAACTCAGCCCAGCCAGATTGCTGCCAGTTGGAGTCTGAGTCATAGCACATGAGGGAGCATCCAAATTGTGCATCATCTATTGGTGGGCCTATTTTCGGCTTCATCAAAAACCAACAGCTCCCTCAATACGTACGATTTTAGTGAACCTGCTAAAACTTCGAACATGGAAGAGAACTCTCTAGGAAGAAGAAAGCCACATAAAATGCTATTTTTTGTTTGACGTGTATAAGAGCATTTCCGCTTTTTGGAGAACGATTTCAATAAATTCTTCTTCTATTTTGCGTTCAGGAGTATAATGGGAAAACGAACCCCTTTTTTGCTGACATGTCAAGTGGGGTGGAGTTAGATATAAATATGGATTTGTTAAATGGGGGCGACGGAGATTTCGAATGCGATACCAAACTGCTCGGCATTTCGATTTCTGAGGTGGACCTGCCCGTAAAAACCCTTTTTTTTTAATGTTCATATTCATGATGATGATAATGATGATATGTGATTCATTTTCTACAATGAAAAAAAAGGTAAACCCTTGAACTCCATATATAAATAGCCTAAACTCGTATAAATTTAAAAAGCAAACCACAAACACTATTAAGGGTCTGTTTGGTTCATAGTCAAAATCGGAATTAGAATCACAATTCTTTAGAATCGAAATTGAAATCAGAATGGTCTATTCCCATAATCTATTTGGTTCAAAGGATTTGGAATAATGAAAATTGGAATATACTGGAATAGGATTTCATACCCAAGGAAGGGGGAGAAAATGGCCATTCCCTCAAATTGGGGAATGTCATTCCACCAGGAATGAGTATGGAATTCCGATTCCACCCAACCAAACAGTTGGAACCGAAATTGCCCATTCTAATTCCAATCCTAGAACTGAATGGATCAGCACTAGCTATAACTGGAACCAACCCGACATGAAATGTTGATGACCCAAAACCAAATTGATCGGTTCTCAAGACAATCAGGTCTGACCCTACAGACCCGTTTATAATAAATAATATATACGTTTAATATATATTAAATATTATGTATAATATATATTATACATTAAGTATATATATAATATATATATATAGCTTTTGTCGGGTCTGAATCGGTTTGGGATTGGGTGGAACCAGGTCCAAACTAATAATACTTGAGACACTATATCAGGACCCAGAACTGACCTGCGGTTCCAGTTCCTGTAACCAGAACTGGCTCAATCGGTTCAGCTCCATCGGGTCAGACCCGACCCATTGACAGCACTACCGATTCCAAACCCCTATTCCCGTTAACCAAAGGGGCCGTAAGATTTCACCTCTCCCCTAACAAAGGCAAAAACCAACCACCCTCAGCCACTACCAACAAAACGTGTTCAACAGGCCCTACAATGTCTCCCCCTACGGCTATTGCCCTTACATTCTATAGCGGCTTAATGCTAAAACAAGTCGGTGATAAAAGAAACAAATCATCTGAACAAGTCATTCTATCCAGAATAATGAAGGATATCTTCTAAAGATTCGACCAGCATTATAAAAAGTGCTATGTACTAATTGATGGAGCGTACTAAACAAGTTGCAAACGTTCTGTACTGTAACAACTCATAGCAACTGAAGACTCATTTAAGTAGTAGTTCGTATATATCCAGTAATGAAAGGGAATATGGCCAGAATATCATAATATGGTACATCTCTCAGATTTCCTGCGTAGTTCCTCAGTCTCCCTCTGGGCTCTCTCCAAACTTTCCCTAAGCTGACGAATTTCATCATTTGATTTCAATTGTGCGGCTTGTGCAATCTGTTCTGCCTTCAATCGTGCAGCTTGCTCTTCTGCTAATTTTTTTTCAAGCCTCTGAGTTGTCTCCCTGAGCTTCAGCTCAACCTGCGTAGTACCATGAAGAAGTGGCATTCCCATTAAAAAAATGATCTGATAAATTATATTTTACATCATACAGCCGGCATTCATATAAAAAATAAAGTTGAAAAGAAGCATATAATCCCATTAAACTTCTGCTTTACTCGAATAGAAATAGAAAACTAATCAAATATGAGACATAATCCAAATGTGAATGCCGGCTGTTATGTGTTTTTAAAAATTTTCTCGTTTCCCCGTAAATGCTCCATGGCTGTTAGGTCTCATTTATGGACCTTCTATGAAATCTCAGTGTAATTATTTTTGGGCTAATTTAAAATCCTGGTTACAGCATGTTGTTTTGCTTTTTGTTTTAAAGGGTGATTTCAACCAATCTGGTTCGATTGATCTTGATGATCCTGGTCCTTCTACCTCCAATCTTCGTGTAGGATTTTGTAGACAGTTTAAGAATACGGTGTTGGACCTCAACCTTCTGGAAATTGGAGTTAGAGGAGGTGGCTTTACTTGGTTTAATAAACAACAAGGTTCTAGGTTGGTCAGTCGAACTTTAGAGAGAGAACTTTAGCCTCTCCTGATTGGATATACTTGGTCTAATAAATGACAAGGTTCTAGTCTGCCTAACCCTTTAGATTCTTTTGAGATATGGCCGCATCATGATACTTGTAAGAACATTATTAAGAAAGGGTGGGACTGTTAGATTCAAAGTTGTGCAGCCTATCGCCTTACTCTAAAATTGGATCGAATTAAGAAGGAACTAATTCTGTGGAATAAGCATGATTTTGGAGAAATTAGAGTTCAGTAAAAGAATTTGGAAGAGCAATTTTTTTCAAACTTTGGCTTTCTCACGGTGATCAAAATACTCATCATTTCCATAGGAGTGCCATGTAATAAGAAAATTTCTATTGATTGGACCAAGAATGATCAGGGTGGGTGTTTGGGTGTCAGAACATGCTGATATATAGCTAAGGTTTTTGTTTCCTATTTTTAGGAGTTGCTTACTTCCAATGATTTGCCCAGTGCTTCTTTCAATCAATAGTTACCCATATCATTACTTTGGAGGATAATTATAATGCTCACTATTGTTCCCTTAGAAGAAGTCAAACATGCCCTCTGAGGTTGAAGTCTCCAGGACCTGATGTCTTTAGTCAATCCAGAGTTTTGCGATCTTATGGGTACTAAATACAGTTTGCTCAGGATGTCTTTAGTAATTAGAAATTCCTATGTAGACTGAATCATACTTTTATCTACCTAATTCACAATAAGGCTGACTGTGCTAGAGTTCAGAACTTTAGACCTATAAGTCTAATGTAATGTTTTGTATAAAGTCCCAAGTTGTAAGCCTTTAGGCTCCATATCTTTCTTGCTAAATGTATTGTCCCCACTTAAGCGGCTTCTGTGCCAGGTCAGTACATGTTTGACAATGTAATTATAACTCATGAGATGTGTCATTATTTGAAAACTAGGAAGAAAGGTGTGGGATACCTAGCCATGAAAATTGATATGGGAAAAGCGTATAACCATCTGGATTGGAACTATCTTCTGGCAGTACTTGGGGCTTTTAGGTTCTCCCAGGATTTCTGTGATCTTATTGAAAAGTGCATCTCCACAGTTTCTTTCCCTATTCTAATTAATGGTTATCCAGTAGATCATTTCCATTCCTCTCGAGATCTATGTCAAGGAGACCCTCTCTCTCCCTATAAGGTTTTTCAAGGATGTTACTAAAAGTGGAACAAGAGGGACTAATTAAAGGTATCCAAATTTCAAGGCATGCTCCCTCAATATCTCATATTCGCTTTTCTGATGACATCATGGTTTTCTTGAGGGCTCATAGGAATGAAGTTGACAACCTTAAAAACACCCTTCAGCAGTTTCAGGAGGTCTCTGGTCACTGATGTTCTCTAAAAATATTCATCCCCGGCACCAGAGAATGCTCAGAAGACAACTTCATATGGGTTTAGTCCCTCCCAAAGTTAAGTATCTTGGAGTTCCATTGCCTCTTTGGAGTTCATTTTGGATAATCTTAAAACCTAATTATTCATTGGAAATCCTCAGCTCTTTCTCAAGCAGGAAGGCAGGTCCTTGTCCAACCGGTTCTGCAGTCTACACCTCTCCACTATGTGAATGTAATGCAATTCCCCGTTAAGTCAATTTCTCAAATTGATAAAGCCATCAGAGACTTTTAATGGAATTCCTCTCCTATCAATCCTAAGTATCGAATCTGTGCTTAGGAGCATCTGTGTCAGACTAAAGCAATTGAAGAACTAGGTTTCCAAGTGACTAAAGCAGTAAATAGGGCTCTTGTCAAGAAGTTAGCTTGGCGTTTCTTGAATGAGCAAAATAACCTTTGAGCCTAGATTTGGCATTATAAATATCTTGAGCATCATGAATACATCCTTTTCAAATTAAAACCTTAGCATCTCCCTTCTGGAAAGATTTCTGTCCCATTTTATGTGATTTTCACAAGTGGGTTATTTGGTAATTCTTGATTCTCAGGAAAGCATTGCTGTTGTTCCTTGGATTAGACACCCAAATTCCATCTTAATGCTCCCTAATCCAACCCAGCATGTGTTATCCACTTGGACAATTTCAAACCTGATCAATCAAGATCAGCCATGGCACTCAGATTTAGTTACTCAAGTTTTTCACACAGATCTAGGGAACTTAATTATTCAAACCCCAATCCTTCTGAATGACACTTCCTCCTTAAGATGGATCTAACTCCATCACAAATTGGGGAAATTTTCCTCGAAACAAGCTGTTAGAGACACAAACAGACAGAAGCTACAGGTATATTCTAGAAGGAGAAGAAGAAGGCCATGTCAGCCTAGTGAATCAGTTCAAAGACAGTTGAAGTTAACTGAACAAGTTGTCAAGTTGTAACTCTGTTGCAAGTCAGTTACCATAGGACCTAGACCAATATAAGATAGGATTGTACCTACAATGAAGTGTGTAAATGAAGTTTTTCCTCATCTTCTTTCCCTTGTCTTCTTCTACAATAATTCAGGAGGCCATCCATCCTCAAAGAGGATCTGAGTTGGGCAGCTTCCCAACATCTTGGTATCAGAGCTTGCGATAGAAGGCCTCATGCCAGGCACACAATTGGAAACCATGGAAGAGCGAATGGATCAAATGGAGATTCACCTGCATAAGACGCCTAGTGATTTGCAAGAAATCAAATACACTCTGGAAACATTGATGACTCAGTTGGAGAAAAAGTCTATGGGAAGAAGCCATCAGGCGATCACGAAGGGAACAACAGAGATTAGGAAGGAAGAAATCGTGGATAGGCAGTGAGCAGATCAGCCAAACTGGACTTCCCGAAATATTCAAGTCAGGATCCCATACCTTTGATATTTAGGGCAGAAAGATATTTTCAATACCATGATACACCCAGCCACTAAAGGGTTCCCATCACTTCATTCCATCTGGAAGGAGAATCAATTTTGTAGTTCCAATGGTTTTGTTGTGCCCACCCGCAAGTCTCTTGGGTGAATTTCATAGAAGCTTTGTGTATCCATTTGGGGCTAACAGGGTTTGATGGTTTTGATGAAGCCCTGTCTAAACACAGGCAAACAGGGTCTATGAAATTGGGTTTGAAAGATTATCGACTTGGGTTCAAAATTGGCATGAAAAAGCATTTTTCCACTGCTACATAGGCAGCCTAAAGGATGAAATAAGAATAGAAGTAAAACCCTTCAGCCCACTTTGGTGCTTGTAGCAGTTGGTCTGGCATGACTACAAAAGAAGAAAGACTCAGTCACCTTAAAAGGGTGAATCGATCGAGTCAGTTCAGCCTTAGCCAAATCAGCATGGCATTACTCCCTAGACCACTGATCCAACTGGGTAGTCCATCACCCCTGGGGTCTGGCCAGGCACCCATAAGAAACCAGTCCAACGTGTAGACAAAAGGCCCAGTCTAAGACCAATGCAATCATTCCAGCCCCAGTACCATTAAGAAAACTGTCATGGGCCGAGATGCAAGCCCGAAGAGGCTGTGCTATCTGGCTATAATTGCGACAAAAAATTCGGTCCCGAGAATAAATGCAAGAACCAACAAGTATTATTGCTACAAGAGGAGGAATTGGATTCCAATGGTGAGGCCCAATATGCACCAGATGACATAAAAGTTTAGGGAGAACATGAACCTGAATATGGGCTAGATCAATCCAAAATCTCTTTACATGCATTAACAGCATTAACATCCACCCAGACAATGAGTAGCTGGACCGCTATTGGACTGGGCTATTTCAATCTCGATTGATAGTGGGTCATAATTAAACTTTGTGACCCAAGTGGCTGCTGAACAGTTGGACCTAACCATTGAATGAGTGGCACACTGGCACCATTTAAAGTTCATGTGGCTGATAGTAACAATATCAGCTAACAATGGAATTTTCTCTTAATCGCAAGAATTGTCATTTGGACAGATTGGCCATGGTTTCACCAAAACCTGAGGGGCTAAGAGACATCATCAAAACCTTACAGTGAGAGGCAACTTATCCTATTACATACTGGGTTGGACCCCAGCTTAGTTTTGACAATCCCAGATGAGGCACCCATTTCAGTAGAAGACCAATAAGGCCTCCAGCAGCTGCTCCACAACTATTCGATATTTTCCAGGAGCCCAAGAAGCTGCCGCCCATCCAGACCCATGGATATCCTGGGTGTAGCCCCATCAAATGCCAGCCTAATTCAAGCCCATATTCAGCACCAATCCTCTTGGTCAAGAAAAAGGATGGGACTTGAAGATTTTGTGGTGATTATCGGGCTTGAAATCAAATTACAGTAAAAGACCAGTTCCCTATTCCACTTATTGATGAGCTACTAGGGCATCGTTCCTACCTGTTTAGAGAAATTCCTATTCTGGAACAGGAATCCTATTTCTTATTCCTAAAAAATAACTGACTTGTTTGGCAAATTGTTCCTAAAGAACATATTTTTGTTCTATAGAGATAGAAATGACGTTTGGATAGCCATATTACTTCTTATGATTAATTGTTCATATTAAT